CTCTTGTCCAAGCTGAACAAGCCAAGTGACTTCAGCCACTCCTTGGAATTCTTGCCCTCAAGGCATTTCACCATCTTGGTCACCCTCCTCTGGACACACCCTAATAGTCTGATGGCCTGCTTATATTGAGGCACCCACAGCCGCACACAGGACTTGAGGTGGGGCTGCACAAGTGCAGTGTAGTGTGGGACAGTCAGCTCCTTTGACTGGCTGGCAATGCTGTGCTTGATGCACTGCAGGACACGGTTAGCCCTCCTGGCTGTCAGGGCACACAATTCACTCATACTCAATTTTCATCAACCCAATCGCCCTGATCTCTTTCTGTCGTGCTGCGTCCAGCCTCCCATCCCCCAGTTTGCCCATATAACCAGGATTACTCTGTCCCAGGCAGAGAATCCTGGACTTGCTCTTGCTAAATTGCATATGGTTGGCAACTGCCTAGCTTGCAATCTGTCCAGATCTCTTTGTAAGGCCTCTCTACCCTCTAGGGTGTCCTAGTTTAGTATCATTTTCAAACTTTATGACATTTGATTCCAGCATCCAGAACATTTACACAAACATTTAAGAGCATTGGCCCTAAAAGTGAACTCTAGGGGACCCCACTCACTGGCCACAAAACTGATGCAATCCAGTTTACTACATCCCTTTGAGCCCAGCCCATCAGTAAATTGCTTACCCAATGTATTATGGACTTGTCTAGCTGCGTGTTGGACATTTTTTACAGAAGGGTACAGTGAGAGACTAACTAAATAAAAAAATTTTCATGAACTGAAGCAGAACAAGCCCAATCTTTTACTGAAGATGGAGCTTGAATTCCACATAGTTCCCAGCACTGAATATAAAACCATCTTATTTTCACTCTCAAGTAGTATTGGTTTTCTCAATGTAATTGCTGAATAGCAGTTGTTGCCCCAGCTAGCACTGCCTCTTAAGAGCATAGTTTTCTCTGATCATTTTCTTCATAGTACAAGTCAATATATGTCCTTGTATGCACAATAAAGAATACTAATACTCCTTTTACTCTTAGCTCACAGAGCAACTTTTTGAAAGAAATTACCTAATTGTTTTACAAACTGGCTATTGTCAGGCTTCAATGACTTGAGATGTCTCTCCTAGGAGCGTGTTGCTCTGTGGCTTCATGACACTACAGCTGCACTTGTTAAAAAGATCATTTTGGTCAACACATTTCTGAATTTTCCTCTACCTCAGTTTTAGAGCAGACACCAGACTTCTAGTGTTAAAAGTGAAACAACATTAACTTTAGGCCAACATAAATCTTATATTCTCCAAATGGGTAGAACACTACAATTTTCCGCAAGAACAGCTCTGTTTTTTCAACAGAAATGCGATGCAGTGAATGTCTACTGCAGGTAAATTCTGCATTAAATTACATTGCATCACTTCACATTTAGGACATTGTGGACTGAACTGTTTTACTCTGCATATCACCGCTGCACTTTCAAATGAGTAATATGTAAGTTTTTGTGACAGGATTGTATATTGTAAACTCCATGACAAAAGCATTTTTTCCCCTGTAAGTTAAAAGATAAAACTCAAGCATGGTTTTTACAGAGAGTCTGAAGTTTGTAATCTGTTTGTAATCTGTTCCTTAAAGAAATAAGAATGGTATACACCCAGTTGAGCATATATTCTTTTAAGTTATGGCAAAGTGCAATTACAGTTTAAATGGAATATTTATGTACATTAGTTAACAACATCATTGCAACTTAGTGCTCACACATCAACATTTAATTAGTGTAAGCATAAGTGATATAATTTCTGCAAGGCATGCATTACCCATAATTTGAGGTAATTTCATGCGCTATGCACATTTTAAATATCTACTCTGTATTTTTCCAGGCTGAATTTTTAAGTCAATAGGAGATGTCTTCATATAAAGACATCTTAACCTATTTTCCATTGTACTTGAACTCAGAGTGTTGTCCATCAATAGAGAAAAAAAAGTTTCTTTCTCCTTAAGGAAAATCTAACCAACTTTCAATATTCAAACTTCAAGCTCAAAAATATTTGATTTCAAAACAGCACAACTATCTATGTAAACAGTATGGTAAAGTTTCTAATTTTTGTGTCTTTTCCACAGAATAGTCAGCCTTAATATGTTGATAATGTTCTTCTGTAAGACGAACTATGGTTTTTTGCAGTCTTACTCTTCTTGTGAAATGCCCTTATTAGCTGATCAGTAAACTCAGTGGTCTCTTCAAAATTCATCAAGGACTGAAGAAACCCAGCTGTTGTGGTACCTACAAGAAATTGGTGAACTAATGAGTAGAGAGAGCATCTGGGACTACATTATGGATATATAAGGAAATAGGTTCATATATATAAATAAAAATGCAGTGTTCCATTCCCTGCTTTATTTTGTTTTCTACTTTATAAGAGGATTGTCTCTTGAATTTTATTTTCTGTTTGAGAAGGAATGACTCTACCAATACTCTATGGAAATGAAAAATATTCTGCATACTACTGTATCTTATGGAAAAAAACTAGTTTTATAATCTAAAGAGAGGAGACAGAAAATGCATATGTCTTCCTTTAGAATAATTTGCAGAAGTTACATATGATCAAATGGAGGCAAGAAGGAACCAAGAAAGTTTTAGTATTCCCCTGTCATGTTACATAAAGGGCTAGAAACCTTCAATAGGATTGTTGTTTCCTGCCTAAACTTAATATCACATACAGCAATTAGTGCTTAATAGTTCTGTTGAATGGATAATCTAAACTTAAGACTCTCCTTTCCTCTCATTATCTACAACTTATTATAAATGGGATCAGAGTTTAAATATCTTGAAGAAATTAGCATCAGATACTTCTTTCTATTTTTTTGGCAGGGGGGATGAGTGTAGTTAGTGCAGTTGTCAGAATTTTATGTGCAATCACTTCACTGTTGCTCTTCCTTGGTCACTTAAAGCACTTTTAAAGCTGGAGGAAATTTTACCAGGAGAATATTTTCCTGCTAGAAAATGCTCTTTTTTTATCATATATAGTCTTCTGTAACAATACATGAATGTTGAATTTAAAAAAAAAAAAAAAGAGAAATAATTATTTTTAGGCTGAGGGGTGACATTTCATCTATGCTAGAGCTGACAGAACCTTTACTGCAAAAAGATTTTCATTACAGATTTTAGGTTTTGTTATTATAAACTGAATAAATCTTTTAAAGACTAAAATTAAACCTTTTTCTTTAAAACTGTTCTTTTTTGAGGATAACTCAAAAATATTAATGTCATTGTAGTTTGTAATAATCAAATAACATGAAAAAAAATTCCAGAACCTGTACAAATCCATGTGCAGTCTTATGGAAAGAGTTTGGACAAGTGCTTGTAGAATCAAGACCTTTAAATAGTTATTTTTTGTTTACATGAGTGCAGCTTCTTTAGTTCATGATGTACCAACAGACAAGCACTCAACATTATAATTTGTTATTGTTTGAAAAAAAAAACTTATACACATGTTCATTTTAGAAATTATTTACTGTCATTGACGTGAACCTTAAGTTTTTGTACATACCTAAAGGATTAGTCAAACAGTCATCAAAATTTAGGAAGATGTGGTAACTAGAAGCACCAGCTGTTTAGGAATAATGCATTGACAGTTAAAATACCTAACTTCTCTTATAACCTTTTTTTAAATCACCCATAAGCTAGATCTGAAGAAAGCTTGATAGATCCCACAAGAAGTCCCACCATAAAGTCCCTCCATATATTTACTGAACTCCAACAAGAAAAACAAAAGAACTATTCTTTTTCCCAAGGGATTTGTGTGTTCCATTATATCCAAGCTATACTAAAGTCTGTTTTCTCATGTTAGGCAACATGCAAAATTGCAGTGCTTTATTTGCTGCATTCTGTACCTTCTTGTTTACCAACAGTAATCTCCATGAAAAAGATTTTCTCAGAATTTTAATGTGATAATAATTGTAAATACAGCAATCATTTTTTTTCTTGGTCTATCAACCCAAACTATTTGGTGGTCTTCTGAGACATCTCCTATTTCCTAAACTCCTCAGCATCCCTCTTCTGCACCCATTCCAATTTGAGTACACCTCTCTGAGTAACCAGAATTGGACATGGTTACTAGTGTCACCAATACGTTCTACAACAGTATTGGTACTGCTTTTACTTCTACTCAAAATATCTTGTTTGATACATACTATCAGATATAGCTGGTTTTTACAGACATATCATATTAATGACTCACGCTCACTGTAAGATCAATAAGCACATCTTATCCTTCTATTTTGCATCCAGTGATGAACCTATCAGTTTACAGCTTATTTTAATTTTAAAAGTACTTTACAGTTTATTTTAATCTTAAAAATACGTTTATACAAATAAGAGCCATCAGGTATGTGAAAGATGAGACATTAGCTTGGAATATGCATTCATATTCGGCAGAAAGCTTACATATAATCTTATATGAATATAAATATGTATATCCACATATTATTATGTATTTTCTAGTGTGTAAAACTAGTTTTATAGTTTATCATTACTGTTATTATTATTTAGGTAATTAAATGCATCCTTCATACAGCTCCTCTCTCTAACCTACCATGTATTCCTACAACATCAGATCTCCTGCTTGACAGGATAATATATTGCTGTCACCTCACTGAATATTAGTATAATTCTGATTTTAGTTTACTAAAATGACAAGTGCAGCTACTTTATAGCTGCTTTGGACCATAAAACATTTTGAAAGTTGTTTTGCCATTGAATCAGTGCTGAAGCAGATATGCATGAAGATTTGGCATTTAATATGTGAGGTGGTTTTGCCCCTTTTCTGTTGTGGGAAATTTGGTTATAAATTTTTCATGACATAGTTCTTTTGTCTGTCAGCACTTTCATTTTGGGAAAAAAGTCTTCTTGACAGCCACTTTGAGTCTGCTCCTCCAGAGCTTTTACTCATCACAGTAAAAAAAGTTGAGAAATAACAAAAAATAAAATAACAAAAATAAAAGGAATTTAAGAGAATACTACCTTCTTTGTTGTTCCTCTTTTTAAGGTATGAGATATAAGACATCTGTCTTCAGATAAGATGAGATGAGGAAATGTCTTATGGTCCAGAGAAGAAATCAGAAGAAAATGTTTATAGTTGCAGGCCAAAGGCTCCAGGATTTTCTGCGTTCCACATTGCATGTAGGCTTAAAAGTCTTCCATTTCGAGGAATAGGCAGAGAAACAGAAAGGCCCTACCCCATCAAAGAGTGATGCTTGTGCTTGATCTTATGAACTGTGACAACTTCCACCCTTTTAAAAGCAGTTCCTGTTATGAAACAGATAAAGCTAGGCGTACACAGAAATAATCACAGGTCAAAACAAAGCTTAGACTTCAGGATTAGCTGATATATACTGTATAACTATCATTGTAAAGAAAATTAATGTAATACTAGATTGTCTCTGTACATATACAAGAAGTTTGTTATATAGGTAATTAGATCATGAAAAGGGAGAAAGAAATATATTATTAAGTACTCTGAGTAAAAAAGTGTAAGAAATAGTTGTACTGAAGTAGTCACCTATGCTGGTCTTTAGACTATGAGTACATTTCTTCAGAATACAGTGCAAAAGACTCAGTTTTCAGTGCTAACAGACCGAGAAAAAGAGCAAGGTCATCTATTGTCTTAGGTGTAGGTAGTGGGGACTTAAGTGCACATATGTTGCATCACATTTATGCAAGTTGGACAGTACCTCATGAGAAAACACTGCTTTCCTCTTCCGGATAGTCCATAACAACTTCTTTTGTTTAATCTAGGGTGGATGTTTATTGACTGTTCTCTCTTGACAACACACCCTTGACTGCCATTCCAAGGAAGTGAGTACCTCTGTCCTCGGGAGGACATCAAGGCAAGGCAAACATGACAGCCTGCGTACAGATCAATGCCACAGAGAAAGCTGCTCTCTTTCCTCCAGAGCAATGCCATCAGCATTGCTGTCAAATGTGTGAACCCAAAAAATTCCAGTTTCAGAGCTAATTTGAGGAGAAGGGTTTGTTTTCCAGGAGAAAATAAATAAATAAATAAATCCGAACACTTTAATAACTTCCATCAAACAAGCCACAAATGTAAAGGGACACAAGAAACACAGATCCAAAAGGACCCCTCTTTCAAATTCTGTGTGTAATTCACGCTTGGCAACAACTAGTCTCCAGTTTATTAATTACAGAATTCACCCCATGTATTCAATTTTCCCTTTAAATCATTAGCACCTTTTTTATAAAAAAAGTTAGTTGCCAGTATGGCTATGGAACATAAATCACTACAAACTAGTGAAAAATCTGGATATCCAATGTGTAAAATTGAATAGAAATTATTTTAGCAATTGAGTATTGCTAAAAGGAAATAACATTTCATTAGACCTTGTGAGAGAGTCTCAACTTTTCCTCCTCCTCAGAACTTGGACTTAATTGTTCTCATGAAATTAGTTATATTGCTCAAGAAATGGGGATTTTCCTGTGTGAGATGTTTTCTGTTTTCATCTTTCCTTGCCTGCAGTCTTTCCTTCACTGTAAGAGTCCTTGAACAGTCCTTCCTGACAGTCCTTCCTGTCATCATTCTGTGATCAGCCAAGTCTCTCCAACAATAAAATTCCCATTTTGATGGAAATTTCTGATAGTTCTGGGGGCTTGGGGAGTTCTGAAAAAAAGAACAAACACAGGGAAATTAAAATTTTTTTATGAAATTATGAAAAATATATTATTTTTGTGTATAAGGATATTGTTTTACAACAACAGCACATTGTGTTCTACCCTTGTATCGTAGTTTGACTCCCAAAACCAATTTTTCAAACCCCTACAAATCTGCTAAAATGTTGAGAGAAGTTTTCAGACAGGCAACAGATCTAGCATGGGGAAATGATATCAAAATTTATTACTAACACAATAAATACTATAAAACAATATATCTATACAACAATCCTAACTATCTCTCCTATGGTAAAACAATATATTTACATAAACCAAATCCCTCCTTTCCCCCCCGTAAATGTCCAGAAGGAAAGAAGAAGTCTGTTTCACTTTCAGGGCAGTACAATCTCTCATCTTTATCTTCGAGGCAGCAGTTCTGATTTGTCGTAGCTGGAAAATCTCTCTTTCTCTTCATTAGAATGCAGGGGTCTCTATCTCACCCCTATTCGGCCCTTCGGTTCCAACTGAATGTCTCACCTATGACTGCAGGCAGGGACAAGGCTCGCCTCACCATGGTCATATCACAGAGTGCAGAGAGTTAAAGCTTAAAGTCTTTATTCTCCATTCCATGAAAGTCCCTATCCCCTGGGATCAAGTTCCCCGGCAACTTCTGTTGAGGTATCCACCCCTCCTCCCCGGGTCAGAACGTTCTGAAGGCTTTTAATTCAGTTCTTATCCTAGAATTTGTTCTAGCTGACTTTTCTCTGCTTTATTACAGACTCTCTCTCTCTCTCTCTCTGAGTCAGATGTCTCTGCATCTCTCGGTCTGGCTCCGTGTCATATTTTGCTGTTTGCCTGCTATCTTCTCTTCCTCTCGGGACAGTCTTGTTGGCCAGAAGTCAACCTTGGCTTTCAGCTACAGCTCTCTATTCAGTGCTACCTCTGCAGCCGCTTTTCCACCGTCCACTGCAAGGGGGAAAGAAAATGCAATCCAGGGGTCTCCCCGATTCTTTCAGGGTTCCCCTCAATCACCAGCCTCAGGGGAGACTCCATTCACCTGCTGTGCTGCTCCTGACCCCTCGGCCAGGACCGGAGGGGGTAAAGGCCCCTCGGCCCTACTCTCTAACACGTGGCATCTCAACTCATGGCTGTCTCTCCTTCCAGCTATGTAATCCAAGCCTTCTTTTCCGATTTGTGTAATATGCTAATTTCGCAGAAGCGTATTGCGGCTTCTGATTGACTCTATATCAGAAGAGCCACATTGGAATTAACCATTTCCAGCCCCAGGGGGATGCTGGACAAGTCAAACTATGACACCCTGGAGCACTACAAAACACATAATTTGAAAAAAAAAAAAAAAAACAAAAAAAAAAAAAACCAAACAAAAAAAAAAAAAAATCACAAATTCCCATGATCAAAAATGCCACATTTTGAGATTTTTATTCTTTTTGCATTACTATAGAGACAAACTTTTCCTTAAAATTTTATCAGAAATTCCTTTAACCAGTTTTAGTTACCATGCAGTTAGAGAAAAATTGTCCTAAAAATTCCTGTTAGATCACTGAGAAAGGAATGATTCCACTCTTATGAACAGGAAGAGGTTACAGGCCCCCTTCACGTAAGCATTGATGACTGACAGACTGAGAGGACTGTTTCAACTGCAGGACAACCTTGGCTGCTTCTTTCTGAAAGGAGTACAAATTAATATGCTGAACTCTGCAACCTCAAATTTAAAGCCTATGTATGAAAGAAAATTTTTCATCTTTCTCCTACTATATTCGCTGTGGATTTAGAAGACTGTTGTCAAACATTCTCCTGTGGTCTCTGATGCCATCTTCAACAGATTGGATACAAGATTCTGCAATGCTTTCCTTGCAAAAATGGAAAGGAATTTGATGTTAATTAGAAATCTATTTTTCTTTATGTGGATTCTCATAGCTCTTTGTAGGTCATATTTTCTTTTTGGTCAATAATACAATAACATTAGTATTTTTTATTTTAGAGTTTTCTTTACGTTTCGTTATCCTACTCACTTCTTTTCTCTTTTTCTATGTGCCTAGAGAAAACTTTCACATTGTTTTCAGATGTCCAAATTGGTTTTTTGCCAATTTGAAAAGAATGTGAGGGTAAGGAGAATATAATTATTTTCCTCTCAAGTTCAGCATTACACAACCTAGATGTATTTCTAGCACAAACATTGGTCTTTAGTGGGATTTGATTAATATCAAAGGTAAGCTGTGTGATTTCCTAAATGTAATTCACTTCAAACACCTGATGGACCCCAAGCAAGGACCTACATTTATATCAGAATGGCATTTCAATACCAACGATAACATTACCATGAATTCCATATTTTTAGCAATAAGAAAGCCATGAGATGTTTTTTCTAGCTTGTGCATAGAAATTTTTTTTGATGGCATTCTGACCATGCAAAAAAACCCAAAGAAATTAGTAATTTCCAGTTATAGCAAATACATCTTGTTATGAACTGAATTCCTATTAATTCTTTGGAGAATTATATCTCTTCCTTACTCTGTCTTACTAAACCCTTAAGCTACATTGGAATAAATTCATGTACTGAAACAGAAACTACAGTCAGCAAGAAGGTGCAGCTTGCGTTTTTATTACCACTGGAATGAGGACAATGCCTTCATGAAATCAACATTTTAGTAAGTAAGGCAAACTAATTATTTCCACAGGAAATGCTTTGCATTTCCAGGATTGTCTCTGTTTTTCCCACCTAAATTCCAGGCAAGGATTAACAGTCTGCAGCTGTAACTCCAAAAACACACTCAGCCTCTCACCACCTTCCATCCCCAGCAAAAGCACCCCTCAGTCACATGTGCAAGCAAACTCCTCCAGAGGAGATTTTCTCCATCCTGAGACTAAGCTATTCTCCCCTCCATCCCAGTTTATTGTGTAGGTAACTATTGATGGCTCTAACAAGTCTTGCCATGTTCATCTATTTTCCTTTCTGTCTGCAGACTGTCATACTCTTAAATTTGCAAGTAGTCCAGGCCTATAACACCCATCTAAAAGTTTAATAGGTTGGACTGATACACAAACTCAACACATAAAAATTATTGGTCTTGCTAAAAAATAGAGGGATGGAAACAGAACAGATACTTGAAAAGAGGAGGTTTATTCTTTACTTTTAGTACCCCACATTAAAAGGCATTTTTCCTCTGCTAAGCATAACAAATGACCCTGCAGTAATTACACAGAAATATGAAACAGGGGTTTAAAGACAAAAATCTGACAAAAAGAAAAATTTCATTTTTTCACAGTTCAGGTTTTATTTAATTATTTTAGGCTGTACTAATAGGGAAACAGGTGCAGTTCAGCACTTGTAGCATTTATAAAACTGCAGCCCATCTTGCCTGTTTTTAAATTTCTCTAGCTTACAATTTGGGAGGATACATTCCAAAAAACATAGTGCATTACAACATCATTAATTTCTGCAAACCCAGCGCACCTTCTGCTTAAGTAAAGGAAACACTAGAATGAGAAAGTTCTATCCCTTAAGTGAAATTGAAAATGCATCTTTAAATTATAAAAAAGTTTGCCTATTCCTATTGT